AAAAAGCAGGGAGACTTATCATGGAAAGAAAACTGTAAAATGCTGCTGCCTCCATAAGGCTGTCTATTGCCTCATCAAGTCCTGGAAAAGAGATAATTAAGCTTGAAGCCTGAGGAACTCCTCCTATTCCTTTGTCTCTTCAAAAAGAAGGGGGACTTTAGCCTCCAAATGTTGCCTTCAGGCTTAGGTATAGAGGAACTATCCGAAGTGATTAAATTACTGCCACAAGAAGAGAAGACACAGTGCTCTGCTAAGTATCTCAAAATATAATTTTTGACTCAAATACTATTATGCAATAACAGTAATTTACTGTTCTGTGATAATAATAATTTAATGAAATATCCCAGGACATAAAATGTTATATTCAAATTATCAAAAATACTGGCCTTGGGAATCTACACATATTCAACAGAACATATACATCAAGAAAGTACTAGGAACTAACAACAGAGATGTTGTTAAAAGTGATTTGGTGCCCATCAACGGTAGACTGGATAAAGAAATTATGGGATATGTACTCTTTAGAATACTATACCGCAGTAAGAAACAACGAAATCCAGTCATTTGCAACAAAATGGAGGAATCTGGAACACATCATGCTGAGTGAAGTAAGCCAGTCCCAAAGGGACAAATACCATATGTTCTCCCTGATCGGTGACAACTGACTGAACACCAAAAAGGAAACCTCCTGAAGTGAAATGGACACTATGGGAAACGGTGACTTGATCAGCATAGCCCTGACTGTTAATGAACAACTTAATACATTATCCCTCTTAGTAGTTTTTTTGTCTGTTCTACTTAATATGACTGGTTTAATTCTGTAATTAATACACATTTATTCTTAAGTGTTAAAAATTAACGGAAATGTGATCCCTGTTAAACATAAGAGTGGGAATAAGAGAGGGAAGAGATGTATAATTTGGGACATGCTCAAGCTGACTTGCCCCAAATGGTAGAGTTAAAAACATACCAGGGGATTCCAATTCAATCCCATCAAGGTGGCATGTACCAATGCCATCTCACTATTCCAAGTGATCAATTTCAGTTAGTCAATTGACTAAGAGTCAAAGGGAGCACATAAACAAGTCTAGTACCTGCTAACACTAACCGATGGAATAAATAAAAGGGAGAGTGATCCAACATGGGAAGTGAGATACTCAGCAGACTCATAGAATGGCAGATGTCCTAAATAGCACTCTGGCCTCAGAATCAGCCCTAAAGGCATTTGGATCTGGCTGAAAATCCCATGAGAGTATTTCAGGCATGGAAAGCCAAGATACTCTGGCAAAAGATCTCTGTGAGTGAGATCCCAGTGGAAAGAACAGGTCTTCAAAGAAGGAGGTACCTTTCTCTGAAGGGAGGAGAGAACCTCCACTTTGACTATGACCTTGTCTAAACAAGATAAGAATCGGAGAACTCAGAGGGCTTCCATAGCCTTGGAAACTCATGACTGGAGCATAGGGAGATTACTGATGCCATAGACAGGAGTGTCAATTGGTAAAGTCAACAACAGGAGTCACTGTGCACTTACTCCTCATGTAGGATCTCTGTCCTTAATGTGCTGTGCATTGAGATTTAATGCTATAACGAGTACTCAAACAATATATTTCACTTTGTGTTTCTATGGGGGTGCAAACTGTTGAAATCTTTACTTAATGTATACTAAAGTGAAACTCCCCATGACCCACCGGGCACACTTTCTACAAACTAAGGCTTCCAACTCGGGCGTGTGTTTCATGTTGCAGTGCCTCTCAGTTCCCTCAAGCCACGGAGCCGCGGGCGCCACACGGGGCAGCACAGGTGCACACAGAGCAAGCCGCAGAAGTGAGTCGGGGGCTGAGGGTGAAGCAGGCAGTGGTCTCCGTGCGGGGGTCCTCTGCCTGCTCACCGCGGCCCCGTGGGGGCCGTGGCTCCGGGGCAGGACTCCATTTCAGCAGAGTTCCGCTCAGGGTGACCCAGGGGGTCTCGGACGCCCTTGTGCTGAGCGCCAGAAGCCGCGTCACGTGGCCCGAGACGTCCCGAGAAACACATAAGGGTTTTACGCATCTGCAGTGAGCTTTAACGGGCTCCATAAAACCCAACAGCTGGGAGTCGGCGAGTGACCTTGGTGGTTTTAATTAAATCCAAGGTGAAGATTCGAGGATTTGGGAGCTTTACGTGGGCAGAGGAATGGGAATGGTGTGGGACGAGCAGGGGTGCGGAGGGACAACCCCACCCCCAGCATGGGGACACTGGGTTGCTCAGAGTCAGGGGTCAGGGAAGGAATCTCCTTGGCCACTAAGATTTTTCCAGAAGGACACCCAGGGCCTCTGATACCTGCTTCGTCTTCGTGCACCCCCTGAGCCCCCTGGGCTCACCTGTGCAGGCAGGACTCCACCTGCTGTTACCTGCTGGGGGCAGGTGCTTACCATGG